GAAAAAACTGCTAAGAAAGGAAGTTGATTTACAAAATGTTGTATAAGTGGCAATAATTAACGTAGAGAAAGTTGCATTTTTTTCACTATTATGGTAATCGATTACTTATTTTGCTGTTTGTATCACATACAAACGTGCAAATTGTGCATGAAAGTAATGGGGATTGTTATACGTATTTAAAATCGAAGTTAAGGAAAGGTACTGTTTATGGTATCATAGACTGTGTATTACAAGAGGTTTAACTTTTTTTTCCAGATACGATTGGTCCTGAAGATGTTGGACTGAAAGATGAAAGCCGAGAGGATGAAAGAGGTCATGGTCTTTTTGGACTCAATGTCTTCAACAGGGTGGATCGCTGGGCTCAACCGATTACATATGTGGATATACACGAGGGTCAAAACTTTACTGTAAGATATCGTTCTTATTTAGCTGCATTGCATGTGTATCTGTCAAATGCATTTACACGGTCTCTCATTGAATTGTTATTTGATAACGATATATCCTCGTGTCAACTGTCAACACGGCCTTTAATAATGTACTGCATAACGACAAAACAAGATATCCTCACAATTTGTTCGTCAACAGTGAGGTTTTTTTTGATCTCCACCATCGAAGCTTTGAAAAGAACATACAAATTTAATTGGATGCATGCAAGGACATTCTAAAATACGCCGACTTTAAAACCTGAATGAACAGGTTTATTTTTATGGTTAAAAAATAATTCTTCAGGTTGCATTGTAAGAAAATTTTAATGTATTGACATCATGCCTTTGTTGCTTTATTTCTAGCAGTATCAAATGTGTGTTTTTTCATTAGATGAGTAATTCAAGCTTATGTAATATCTACGACAAACTCAATTGGAATTGATGTATGCAGATGTGCATGTTTTGTTTCCCAACTTCTGCTGTCATTCCATTGCATGACCATCCTGGAATGACTGTTTTGAGCAAAGTCCTCTATGGATCCTTGCACGTGAAAGCTTATGATTGGGTTGAGCCAGCTTGCATCAGGAAAAGTGAACGTGCTGGTCATCCTACAGGTTAGTTTAAAAAAACAAACTTCAAGTATTTTAAGGGCTTCTTAAATCCTCTCTAGGTATGACGAGCAGCCAAAGAAATAAAGAATTTACATTCTTTTCATTAGAGTACTCACCAAGTGAACTTCAGAGAATCTAAGTATCTGTGGTGTGGATGATAAAGTGGCCAGAAGTCACTTCATTGACTTGATATCACGACCATTAGTTATATATAGAAACTTTTCTAGGTAAAGCAGACAAAACTCATAACATGGAATTTTAGTATATTGCCTTAGACCCTCTCACCACCGAGGCTCCGCAATATGTTAGAGAACTTTTAGATCCAGCAAAGTTTCTTTATGGTCCAGAAATTGTGTGATAAAGAATTTGAAAACTGCAGATGTTCAAATAGCACAGGATTTGCAATCATAGCAATTTAGGATATGCTCAAGTCTTTCTTTTAGCTTCAGCAATTTGTGTGGCACTTGTATTTGACGGTCTTATCAACTCGACCGTGTCCATTATGCTCCATCTTCTGTGACTGTTATGATGCTCAGTGGACTTGAAATTTTGTGAGGTAGCATATAGTTACTTAGATGTCCTCATTTCTTTCAAACAGCATCATGATAAGAGATCACTCTTTTATTAAGTACAAACTTTTTTTATATGGTCTTAATGAGGAACTTTCCTGCACTTTAGAGTTATTTTGAAATTTTATAATTTAGACTTCATGATAAAAGTTCTAAGAGGGTGGTGTATGACTACAACACTTGTCTAGCAAAGTACTATTACTATAGACACTTGGCAAGTGGAAACTGGAGGTAGCTGAAGTTGATTGCGTAGTGAACTTTATCCAATATTCCAAACAATCCTTATTATTAATGTGGAAAACACTCTTATATTCAGATATGTCAGATGTTTTAATCTGGATCTGAACATGTTCTGGTCATGGTGGGCTCAAATGTTAGAGAAAGAGTGTTTTGCTGTCCTGGGCCACTGACATTTGTTTTTTGTCTTCATTTAACTTCATTGGAACAACTTTCCTGGTGAAACCCTTCGTTCACTGTTGAAACTGAAACTTAGTCGTGAATTGACCATCTTACATGTTTGGAAATTGATGCTTCTATGATTCTTGTTTGAACTTGCAGATTTTGCATATTTCTCTAGCATACACTTGGATCCAGCACCACCTTATTGGCCAAATAACAGCAGAATATGCCGGTGTTTAATTTCTTTCACATTAGAATAAACAATTGTCTTCCCGGATTTCTTGCATATGTATGTTTCCCCATTCTTTTGGTTGTGTGATTCTTCTACTGCACTTGAGTTGTCCATCGACTTTGACAAACTTACCGACCCCTTTTGTCTATATTTCTTTCGATTGCATCATTGTCTGTTGAGAGATAGCTCCTTGTTTATTAACGGTCAAATTCCTCCGTTGTGGCCCATTTTCTTTGGCTAGAATTCATACCCACTACTCCTATCTCTCTCTCAAGTGGCCCACTTTCTTTGGCTAGAATTCATACCCACTACTCCTATCTCTCTCTCAAATGACAAATCTGTTCTGCTCCTATCCATTGTTATTTGAGACACAGCATAACCATTCTTAGTTTTTGAGGCAGCTTCCTGTACATCCTCTGCTTTTGAAATGTGTCTTTATTATTCTTTTTACCCACTACTTATGCCATGCGGATTGTTGAAAAACACATCTTTCTTCCCTCTAAGTTCTATCAATAGTTACCATGATAAATTCTTGATCGTATATTCACAAGACTCATCTTCACTTTGGCAAATTGATTCCTGGAGGTGTAAAGCTTTTGCAATTTAGAGGATAGTAATCAAGATTTGATGTACTAAATGGCAACATGGATTAATAACTGACATTCTTAATTTCTTGTTCTTGAGGATTGGCGCTTTTATGATAAATCGCCTTTAGATTTCTATGGATGAATTTTAGGTTGCAGCTTGTTGGCTTTAGTAGCAAGAGAGATACATCGTCTAACATGACAGAACTATCTTGCATTGTTGATTTATTGTAGAGCTTGCATTTTTGGTGAATCCGGTATTTCAGCACTATGAGTTCATGTAAATTGGGTTTTATTTGGTTTTTGGTAAACAATATCAATGTTTTGCTGTTTCTTTTCTTCATTTCATCATATTTATAAATTGATCATGTTTAACATATCTACAAGTGATAGTCTCGAAATTTCTGGTTCCAATTTTCTTGTTTTGGCAACACTTGTTTAGCAAGCCCACTCATTAGCTCAATTATTTTTGCAATCTATCTGCTAGTGCTTGATCCATTTCATTTTGGGGTCTGTAAAGCTTAAGTCCAGTATTTTTAAGCTGAGCTGGACTGAGCCCCATTGAGATTGTATTTTCTTCACCTCGTGTGCTTTGGCAGTTTACTGCTTTGTCCTATTTGTTGGTGTTTTCCTCAGTATATGTTACTTCAAAAAAAAACTCGTTGTTGACGTATATTATTTCACTGATTAAGAAGTATACTCTTAAATGTTTGCACTTCATGTATGTAAGACTATCCTTGTCAAAATCGATATCCACCAGCACTGTGCTAGACACTGAAGCATAGCAGTCGACATGCATTTGCATATCTTTTTGGTATTGCTTATTCAAAGTGAAATAGCATCTCTGAAATTTTCTTCTGGGTATTATCTCTGATACTATATAAAAATTTGTTGATTTTGATAGTTAATATACACACTTACTTTCCCTACTTTTTGCATTTGTAGATCTTTATGATTTACTACATACAAAAAGCATTAAGAAAAAAGAAACATGATGTATTTATTTGACAGTGAGACTGGCTAGGTTGGCGGTTGATAAGGTCGTAAGTGCACCACATGGTACATCGGTTTTGCATCCCAAGAGTGGAGGGAATCTGCACTGTTTTACTGCCGTTACACCTTGTGCAGTTCTTGACATTCTTGCTCCTCCTTATCTTGAAGCAGCTGGCAGAAGATGTACCTACTACCATGATTATCCTTATTCCAGCTTTGGTTAGTGTCTATCCTCTTCCATTTTGAAGCCTTGTCTTTCTCAAGGATTGCTTAGCTTATTCAGATTGGAGTCAAATGTAACCAGTCTGTTCGAGAGTTGTATTGAGATAACCATATAATGCATTTGCAGCACATGGAGATGAAATTGTTGATAATGGAAAGGAACAAGAATATGCATGGCTTGCTGTGGTTGATACCCCAGAGGATCTGTACATGCGCCCAGGAAGGTACATGGGTCCAGACATCCAGAGGTAGCAATATACGTTTTCCTGCATTTGCTTAAGTATGGAGTGTGGATGTTCATGGAGCCCTTTTACTGTGAGCCTACCCAAGATTGACCTATAAATGATGCTTAACTGATGTGTATCTTTTTTTTTCTTCATAATCTTCAAGAAGGCTGTTGATCATGTTGTTAGAATCATGAAAATGCTACAGTATTATATTGTAGTCAAGTCTTTGGCATTGTATATTGGAGTTTGTATTAGTTCCCGCACTGGGTATGTTGTTGTATCAGTTCCATATGATCCATCATCTGCTACCCCCGGCATGTCAACAAAGTATTTCACTTTTGAGACATGGAATTGAAGATCTTTCAATCACTCCAATGTTTATTAATATGTCATTCATCTTAGGCGTTGATGCTGAACTTTTTATTGTAATTGAAAAGTGTACTGTCAAATGTACTCAAGTTTCCAAGCCTTGATTTACAGGAGCAGATAACTCTCCTTGAAGACTAATATTAGATGGTCGTTTTTTATGTTTGTTTCCAGCATTATAATCCTACGAGTAGCTTGGGGAAACTTTGTGGAGTTAATTGTTTGATGTGATAATATGAGAGAACCTCCCTAGTAACATCTGGAGAACTTTAAATCGAAATGAAAAAATCTGAAATATTTGTTAAACATAACAATTTGTTGACTTGAGTGGGTATGAGGCCACTAATCCCCCAACAGCTAGATAAGAGTACGTACTGTTCATGACACTCACAAGAAAATGGAGGGCCCTTGTTATTTTGATTAAGAGAGCACAACTACTACAGACAGGGAACTGTGTTTGTGATACTAAAGTTCACACGCATGAAAGACTTGAACAAAATTCAAAAAAGAACTGCACGAAAAGTCGACCAGATGTAGCTTCTAATGCCTACCTGATCCTCCACGAATACAACATATCTAACAACAATGCCGATTGAGTATACAACAAAAGAAAAACTTTTCTGGATTCTCCCTATCCTTCTTTTAACTTTTGACTGCTTTCTCAAGGAGATCTGAAAGATTCACCAGCATAACGAACATCTCCAAGTTCTTCTTCGATACGTAGAAGCTGTAGTCAGTATAGCAGAGTTTAGCCACTCAACACCAAGCAGAAACTTTTTTATCAAAATAAAATAAAATAAAATAGAAGCATTCACCCTTAAGTTATCAACAAACACAGAATAGCTACACCAAACTAAACATAATAGGCATCAGACATCAACAAAATCCAGCTGAAATGCTACAAGGTATTTTATTATTTTTTTTGGGTAGGGGGGACTTTTATGGAGGAATTTTAAACGACTAGAATAGAATTATACAATCTGCAATGGAGATAGAGTATCCACATAGAAAGCTTATCAACTTCCAAGCAGTCTGGGTAAATTTGCTAACCGCAGGATAAATAAAGGTAACTAAACACTGTGACAAGAGACTACTACCTAAATGAACATATTAATAATGAAATAACTTAAACAGGAACAAAGGCAACAATTAAAAATAAGATGAAAGAAACAAATAAAGAAAGGGAATTAAGTGTTCCAACCTGGTTGTATTTTGCCAGCCGCTCACTCCGGCAGGGTGCTCCAGTCTTTATCTGCATTGGGAGAATTTAAAAGAATATTAATACGCTGCTGGTGGTTAAAAGGGTGGAAACGATTAACCAATGTTAACAGCTGGAAGTCTAGAGTACCTGTCCACTGGCCAAACCAACAGACAGATCTGCGATAAAATTATCCTCTGTTTCACCACTTCGGTGACTGACCATAACACCCCATCCTGCAGCTTTGGAGTCTAGTGCTGCTTGAATAGATTCTGTGACAGTACCGATCTGGTTAACCTGCAACAGTTTGAAAGTTGATGAGCCAAGCCCTCACTACATGACTACCATGTGTCATTCATTTACCAAGAGAGTTCTACTGGGCACGGGCTTCCAACGCCTAATCTTATAGGAGGGATTTATGCACATCAATGCAGTGTTCCTATCTAACAGGACTGGACCCGTGATAATGTATGAATTGCTTTTTTGATATCTAAACTTTTTCCTTCTTTCCCATTCAAACTTGAAATAGAATTAACTATACATGATAACAACGTGATTTAGATTATAGTTCATGTGAACTCTGACGAGTCAAGTGCTTGAGGTCACACCCGAAAAGAGGGACTCAGATTAATCACACCATAAAATACATATGTAAACATCATAGCTATTATTACAGCATAAGCTGTAAAGTATACTGTCTTATAACAAACACATTCATCCAAAAAGGCTAATTAACATACTACTATTGTTCTGTTCAGACCAAAATCTTTCTAGGAATCCCTGCTTGTTAAATACTCTTGAAGTCTTTATACGGGGAAATAATTGTCTTTTCCGGAGAAAATCACCAAATTAAGCACCACTGTTTTAAGGCTATTTTGCTGATAAGTGCCCAGGATCAGCTCAAAGGTATTGAACCTTACAGGTAGCATACTTCACTTAGCTTCTTAAAATTAATGTACAATTACGTTTTGAGAAACTAAGCATTTGAAATGAGAATGAAGCCTACTGATGGAACAAGGCAGCTTTGCTACAGAAATGTGTTTGTTGCTTAAAGACAAATCCTTACCTTCAACAATAATGCATTGCATGCCTTCTTCTGAATTGCTTCAGCAATTCTCTTTGGATTAGTCACCAACAAATCATCACCAACAAGTTGAATGTCAACTGAAGATTGTAGAGATGCCCAAGAGCTCCAATCATCTTGGTCAAAGGGATCTTCAATAGATACAATAGGAAAATCTTTGACAAACTCCTTGTAGAGTTCACAGAGGCTCTGAGCACTAAGTACATGAGCTCCATCATTTGGTTGTTTCTTGAAATTGAGATCATATTTTGCATCTTTTGTCAAGAACTCAGATGCTGCTACATCCATGCCAATTTTAATCTGCACCAATCTTCCAATTAGGAAATCAATAACTTCCGAAGATAAGATAATTTAATAAAACTGCAAGGCCAAAAAGAAAGCCAACCTTGCCGGTGTAACCAGCCTTCTCAATTGCATCCATAAGCAATACTAGCCCTTCCCTGTTATCCTGGACATTTGGAGCGAATCCACCTTCATCACCAACATTGCATGCATCTTGACCGTACTTAGCTTTGATAATTCCCTTTAGAGTGTGGTAGACTGTTTACCAATCAAGTGCGGACAGTTAAATACTATGTAAAGAGATATTATGTACAAGTTTGCAGAACACATAATATGCAAAGGTTACAGGTCATGGGGCTATAGGAACCTCAAGGACAAAACAGCAGTTTGATATACAGAATAGAAAGCTACTACTGTTTGACTCCTCCTAATGCAGATTAACTGAAACCAACACTTTTTGTCAAAGTGAGAGACATAGCCATCAAGAAAGAGGAAGCAATTTTATATTTACGCTATTCTAACCTTCACTACCCATACGAAGTGCCTCAGCAAATGTTGGTGCTCCAACAGGTAGAATCATGAACTCTTGCATAGCCAAATTGTTGCCAGCATGGCTCCCTCCATTTATCACGTTGAATGCTGGAACTGGCATTACAAGTTCTTTGGTTCCAGATATTTCTTGAATGTGTTTATACAAAGGTACTGCTTTTGCTCCAGCACCAGCTCTACACACACTGAGAGAAACTCCAAGAATGGCATTAGCTCCAAGTTTTGATTTATTAGGAGTTCCATCAATCTCCAGCATAACAGCATCAACATCAGTTTGGTTCCTTCACAAGAAGAAAAGAAAATTGTCACATTTAAATGGAACTGAAGAAGTATTAACAAGCCACCAAGGCAGCCATCCATTTCCATTGACATTTACTATTATTGAGAAATTAGCTCAAATAGCCGCCCACCAAAAATTAGTTGGCAATGTACAATATATGTATATGTGTGTAACTGTGTATAAGTATTAGTGGCTGTCATAAATATTTTTGGCGTAACAATACTGCAGTACCATACAAGCAATAGCATCACCGGTGTTCTCTACTAATTGATCTTTTGAGATGTCTGTGTGTTATATCTACCCGTCATCTTCTTTTTCTCTACCTCAACTTGAACCAAGCCAAGCTTCAGCTAAATTCATTATTACTACCCAAATCATATATGCAGTTACCTAAGTAGCCTATTGACAACCAATAAAGACGAGTATTAAACTATAAACTTACTCAGCCCCTTTCATAATAAACAAACCAAAGTCGATTAAACAGTAATGGATCGTACACACATAGTAATGGGTCGTACAAAAACCTATACTAACATAGAAGGACCTTGATTCTGATTGTGCAAGTGCTCTAAACAACTCTCTTTTATAAGTAAAAATGCTCTAAGCAAACTCTCAGCTTGTGAAGTAGAAAAACTACCATGTTATGAAGTACTATACAAACTGATACCGAATACTAATGGAAGATGGAAATATTTACGAAAAGAAGGGAAGAAAACGAAAATGCGATAAATATTTAGTAAGATATAACTTACCTTACATCAACACCAACAAGTTTGGGGCCCAAATATTCGTTAATATTCTTTACAGCATTGAGGACCCCTTTACCACCATAGAGGCTCTTGTCACCATCTCTGAGCTCCAATGCCTCATAGATCCCGGTGGAAGCGCCACTTGGAACCGCCGATCGGTACAGTAGATCATCGCCGGTGACCAGATCAACCTCGACGGTAGGATTTCCCCTGCTATCTATGATCTGCCTTGCCTTAACAGACTTCACCTTGGCTGATGCCTTGGATGCAGTTGCCGATGGTGCAACGGCGACGGAGCACCGGACGGTGGAAGACAACCTCCGAGATTGAATCTTCTGGGTAGCAGGTAATGAGAAAAGCGGCGTCTGTGATGTGGGTTTGGTGGAGAAAAAAGTCTTAGAGAGCTGCGCTGGAGCCAAGGCCATTTCTTTTGTGTGCAACTTTTTTCAGAGCAAAAGCGGTTTTGGGATTATTTAAATGGAGGGAAAAGGTTTATAGGAAAGTTCGCCGAAGGGCGAAGAAAGCAAGAATTTGGTAATGAAAATGGCTTCGATGGTGGTTGGTTTGTGCTTTGGAGGAGACGTTAGTAGTAGAATTGAATATATATATATTTAACTTAGAAAGGCCAATGAGTTGGTAGGTGTAATGGACACGAGCGTACGAAAATACTATTATGTCCGATTATTTTTAATTGAAAAATTATAATTTATAATATTTTTTATATTGTTATTAAATATTTAATTTTTTTATTTAAAATATTAAATTAATTTAATTTTAACTATTAATTAAATTAATTTTTTTAAAAAATAATATAACAAATAAAAACGGATGAAATCGTGTTTTGATATTTGTGGGTTCCATCAGATTTCCTATTGCAAATTCTTGGGCTGCCTAATCAACTTTTGACGAGCAGACAATGAGGAATTGCTTCTAAGAATTTATATCACCTTTCGTTTTTATTTAGGTCGAACATATATACAGACTTTTAAATTTGTCCTGTCAACTTGTTTCATTTTAACTTTTACGTTTCATTTAGACACTTTCTTTTCAAAAGATCAACAAAATGGAGGGTCTGTACTTCTAGTAACATTTAAATAGAAAATATTATATTTATGATTTTTTTATTTTCACTTTTTTCATTTTAAAAGTTAACGTCATATTTTTTTTAAAGAAAATAATAATAATGGATGAACATCAATTTTTTTAAAAAAATATTTTTTCTAGAGTGTCTGTACATTATTGTGTGAAAATAATCGACAAAAGTGTGTTGATTTTCTTTTTTAATAAATTAATTAATCAAAAAATAGCACTTTTTTTTCATATCTAGTTTATTTGGACTAACTCAAATATTAAGTTTCTAATTTTTTATTCAATTAAATACGAGTAAAAAGAACTCATGTTCATTGCTAATTTATAACACCATAAAAAGATGTTGAAACTCGATGGACTTCATTAGGTTGTCATTGATTTTCTTAAGAAAGAAAATTGATGCACTTTTGTCGGTTATTTCTCATGCAAAAATATATGGAAACTCTCAAAAAGAATTTGTTACTTTTTTAAAAAAAAGGAAAAAGGGTCTAAATTATCTTCGAAGTATTGAAAATGGTACAAAATTATTTTCCATCCGTCTATTAGCTCCAAAAAATGCTCTTCTCATCCATCTATTAGCTCCAAAATATCATTGATATCCACATTTGGGTTCAAAATTGACCATTTATTTAACTATTTTAAAATTAAATTGTTAAAATATTTTTTAAAATACTTGGCGCTCAACTTATTGATTATAATTTAATTTATTAATATAATTTTTAATCCAACCCACTACCCACTCATTACTAACTAAACCACACCCAATTAATAAACCAATTATAATATCAAAATCACCATAAATACTACTAAAACACGACAAAATTATAGATCCCTGAAAATGGCATTCAAAATTATTCGAGTCCGAATCGAAGTCCCAATAAAATTTAAGTTGAGACGCTTTCGGAAGACACTTTCAATAGGATTCTCTTTCAAGTTTGAATTCGAAATTTATGATTAAAGGTAAAGAAGTAGTACATCTCGAATTAATTCATGCAATTTTCTTTAATATAATTTTATAAATATTTATGATTTGTTTTAAAAATTTTAATATATTATTTTTAAAAAATGTTTTTTTTAATGAAGTAACATCACATATTTTAAATTTATCTTTATATATCTAAAAAATAAAATATTTCCAAAAAAACATAAACACAAAACAATATTTTAAAAATAAAACTTATTGCAACCTAACATTTAAATAGGTTTAAAACATAGTTTTTTAATAATAAATAAATAAATAATCTGACATGGCATCCTAATAGGACAAAGATAATGTATTTTTTTGTATCAAGTATAATTTGAGAAAAATAGGCAGTTGGGTGATATTGTAGTCCTAAAACAAACATAAGTGATATTCTTAGGTTATTTTTCAAACATGTATGACTATTTAGGGAAATTACTCACTTCCTTTTAAAATAAGTAGATATGTGTTTGGATAAAAGTATGAAGTTAAAAAAAAAGTTGTCCATGTGTTTAGCAAATAAGTGCTGGTAAACACTTCTTTAATCAAAATGTCTGAAATACCTTTAAAAGTTGTTAACATGATAAAAGTTGATTAATTTAATAATAATAATAATATATAATATATAATAAAAAAAATTAATATGAAAATAATAATAATAATAATTATATTAACAATATAATAATAATAATAATAAAGAATAATAAAATAAATAAAAAATAAAATATTAATAATAAAAATAATAAAAATAAATAATAATAATAAAATAATATGAAAATAATAATAATAATAATAATATATAATATATAATAATAATAGTAATAAAGAATAATAAAATAAATAATAATAATAAAAGTAGTATAATAGTAAATAATAATAATATATAATAATAATAATAATAAAGAATAATAAAATAAATAATAAAAATGATAAAATATTAATAATACTAATAATTATTATAAAAATAATAATAATAAAATAATAATAATAATAAAAAAAAAAAGAATTAAGAATAAAAAAGTAATATATACATGGTCAACATAAAATGAATTTTAAGTTAAACAAAAGATACTTTTAACTTAAAATAAGTTACTTTGATATTTATCAAACACTCTAATAAGTTAAAAACTAACTTTTAAGTTAATTTGATCAGCTTTTAAATCTATGAGAGACTCTAAAGCATATCAACCCATAGACGAAAAACAATAATGGTTATATTTCCAACTGCATATAAGAATAGCAGGTAGAAACTAAAGGTCTGTTAAACAAGGTGCATATATATACTTTTTGTTCCGTAGAAAAACGGATGAAGTTGTTTTTGTGTTTTTTTTTTTTTTTTTTGATAATACAACGAGATGAGTTTTTAAAGAAATTTTTTATGTCATGTTTTTATTTAATTATTTCTTGAATAACAAAGACTAACTAAATAAATAGATGACTTGGTGAAGAAATATATAATCAAAGATCTGGCAACAAACTATTTTTATACAAATTTCATATTTACTTAAAATAAAATATAAATAATGTTTTTATGGAACTTTTGGTTTAGAATTTAAAAACTCGAGTTTTGAAAAAGACTTTTATGTATATTATAATTTATTCTATAAATTTGAAAAAAAATATTAAAATTAAAACTGATTCTAATAAATGTATACTTTTTGATGATTTTAATGTTTTAGTATTAAAAAAAAATAGATCATGAATTTGATGGACATTTGGCCATATATAATTAAAAATTAGATATTTTTCATTTTACTACAAAATTGTGTTATGCTATATTACTATTTTTCATAAATAAGACACATTTTATTTGTAATTCTAAACATAAAGGTCTAATTTGAATTTTCTATAGTCAAATTAATTTTCAAATAAAGTAGAAATTATTTTAGAAAAAAGATGGGTGATATAGTCTATTTTTTCATGCAAAGTGCAAATAAATATGATTATATGAATGCATATAAGACTTCTTGGGCATATCAAACTCTCTTTAATTGATTGTTGATTACGGATAAACATAAAGAAATAGATTAAATTCAAAAAAAAAATATTAGCACTAATCACCCTACATTTTCTTTTCTTTTTTTCTTTTTGATTTTCTTATAATGGGATCTAATATGTGAATTTAGACCATCCTACATATTTGGAATCATGTATAAGGTTTAGGCTTATTTGTTAAAAATATTGATTCTTTTGGAAAACATAAAATCTTAAATATTCTCATTTATTTCTTATTGTCTCTAATAGAGTCGTCAATGTGGGCTAGGCCCGTTGGGCCGGCCTTGCCTAACCCGAGATTTAATAGAGTTGGACTAAAATTTTTGGAGCCTAATTAAGAAAAGGGTTTTTTAACCCGGCCTGAATAAGACTGCTCATTTGGGGGCTTGAGAAATATCGGTAGGCTGGCCCGTGGGCCAATAAAAATTAATTAAAAAGTATAACATAATATTAAAATTTTAAAATAAAGAGAGTCCAAAATCAAAACAATTAGGTAAATATTTATACTTTCAGTTGAAAAAAAATTAATAAATATCAAAGAAAATGCACAAGTACCCCTAGACTATGACCAAAATCCAGAGACACACCTTAACTAAACTAAGGTCCTAATATCCCTGAACTTTTTTTTTTGTAATTTTATACACCTTTTGTCTTATGTGACACTCTATGTGACTTCACGCAATTGAGGCGCGTCGAAGATATTTGGATGCTACGTAAGTCAAAGAGATGCACAAAATTATACAAAAAATAATTTAGGGGGTAATACGACCTTAGTAAGGTGTGTCTTTAGGATTTCGGTCATAGTCTAGGGGGTACTTGTGCATTTTTCATAAATACTATAAATATAATTTATTTGTGAATTTGATTAACAAGTAGTGACATTAAGGTCTCATTCGTTTCTATTAAGATTAAGAATCTGAATTTCAATACACATTTAAATGTTAAGATGTGCATTAAGATCTAGATGTGTAAATCTGAATAAACATCTAAATATTAAAATATTGTCTCTGAATCTGAACACTAAATTATTGGGACAGTTTGTTTTCAATATATGAATGCACATATAAATTAAACGTTATATCAATAAAATATTATCAAAACCTTGTTAGTAAAATATTTTTTTTCATATAAAATAATATTTTGAACTTTTTTTACCGTAACAAGGTAATATGATTTATCTTTTAAGAACTCAACATCAAGTTACATCATTAATATGATTATTTTTTGCACTTAAGTTTTTTGAGAATCTATTATAATGCAATTTAAAATAGTTTATATAGAGTAGTAAATATATAGTTTAGGAAAATATTTTATTTTATTTTATTTTAGAAATTTATTATTGTTATCGATCAAATAACTAATAATTTTTTATTTTTTGAAATCGTGTTAAATATTATATCATGGGAGTGCTTATCAATTCAAATATATTGATTAATTTATGAAAGTAAAAGATGTATATTAAGTTAATATGAATAAAGAAAATTATTATGACAAGGATGTAATTAAACATTAATTAAATAAGAAAACAACTTTTATTTATGAGT